ATGGCATGAGGGCAACCGATTAAACCACTCATTATCACTGGCAAGTTATTCTGAATTCAATGGAAATATTAAGAAAGCCACAGGGCTTCTTTTCAGAAATAAGGTCACAACTTCAAAGAGTTCTGCCACTGTAGAGAGGCATCCACAAGTGGTGACATTTGGAAGTAGTTTTAATCCAAATTAATTCTGAGATGGAGTTTCTAGAGGGAGTCTTAGACCCTCATCTTATGCAGCATAAGTCTCTGTACCTTCAGAGACTGAAGAAAATGAAGAAAAGCTTAGTTTTAATAAATTATTACTCATCTATAATGTATAATATTCTTTAGCCTATATTTTAAGTTACTGTTTCATATAGGAAAGTTATCCTTCCAATTAATTAGAGATTGCTTACTGACATATAAAATATTTACTCCCTGACACAAGCTAGTAAATGTGCACATTGGTAAAGAACGGTGAGGACAGGTGGGCACAAGTGACAAGGAAACCGCTTATCCTGACATCTTACCTTTGCCTCTTCCCGTTTCACTACAGGCACTGTTTATGTTCTGTTGTCCTGAGGATGGAACTCACAGCTCCCCTGTGCTCATCAGAGAACAGTGACACAACAGCTTCGGTATAACCCCAACTTGCACCAGCCTCCATCCTGGACCAGTTTCTCCTGAAATGTCTCATATGAGAGCTCCTTTTTATAAATTCTTCATTCTCTTGCAAAAATCTCCATTTCAGTTGTCAACACAGATTTAAATTTTCTGGAAGGAATAGTCATCAAACCTGACACAACTGTGTCTGACTTCAAGGAAAAGGAGAAAAAAATTCATGTCAGTGTTTCTGTACATTACTAACTGTATAACTTCTACTGAGCGATTCCGCATTAAATGGGTGTGCCAGACACTGGACAGTCAGTCGATGCTTACAAGCATTACTTAGCAGGCACACCACTGCTATTCCATACTGATGAAAAACAAAACACAATTTCCAAAATTTAAATTTTCTTAAATAAAAATGTATATAATAGAAAAACCATAGGGTTCTTTTCCTTAACATTTAGGTCCAATATCTGCAATCACCAAATTTGTGTTCTCCTGCTTCCTAATACTAGTTCTTCTCGACAGTACCCATTTCTTTTCTTTTACTTTTAAACCAAGTGGGGGAGGGAGAGGGAGGGAGAGAGAGAGGGAGAGGGAGGGAGGGAGAGAGAGAGACAGAGAGAGAGAGAGACAGACAGTCATATTATTGCACTTGGGACATTTCTTCCAAAATAAACATATCCAGATACCCTGGGGTGAGACTTGTGTGTGCACTTGGAAAGTTTACTAGGTGATTATGAAGTGCTTTGCCAAGTGGCAGCTGAGATCAGCAACTCCTCCCAGAATAATGCCACTTTAATGTACCAACATCTAACAAATACTTGGTAGAGTCTGCACGTTATGGGAAAGACCAAGAAGAATGTAAGAACAAGGTGTAGTCCTTGTGTTCTTCAACTGACAGCTATGACCTAACAAAATACATAGCCAAGTAACAGTTAAGTGATCAAATAAAGCATGTGATTCAATATTAAAGCATCAGTACTGACTGTAAGTGCTCTGAGGAATCAGGAGCAGTTGTGCTCAGTCCAGACCCAAGAGTTAGGCTACACTTTGAAGTGGGACTGAGATTTGAGGAATGGGTGTGAGATAGGTGGGAAAGCAGAGGCAGCAGACATTCTAGGAGAGGAATACCACATCAGTTATGGCTGGGGTGAATAAAGCATGGAACTCAAGGTCCAGGCCTGTGGAAGAAAGAGGCCATTTTGACTGATCTCCAACAGGCTATGGCCGGATACTGGTTATCAGGCTAAGAAGCTTAATACTAATCCTATAGCATAGAAAAGAGCATCAAGGTTTTACCACAGCAGAATGTGAGGGTACGTTTTAAAACAATGTTTTGGGAGTTATTCTGGTGACAAACAAGATGCCTTTGAATATGAGAGACAATAAGGAGACATGAGATTGATCAGAATCTAGGCTGAAGTGGTGGATTTACAGTAATGTAAGCCAGAGGCTCGTTGGTTTGAATTTCCACCCCTTATTAAAAGATATATAGACACTCGGAGGAAAGAACTGGAGCAAATCAGAGTTACTGTTGCAGAGAGCAGAATGATGCTTTAGAAGAAACATCTGCACTGGACACACATGACGTTAAAGAGATGCTGGTGAGAAGAAAGGACTTCTATAGAGAATAAGGTAGAATAAGACAAGAAGTGGGAAGCTAAATCTAGAAAAGAAACACACTAAAATCCACAGGAGAAATGCAGGACAAATACACAAACAACACTCCTTTGTAAAACAGAAAAATCTACTGCCAACCAAGACATCAAGAAGAGTGTCAAGAGTTCACCAACACTGTATCACACAACATGGACCAAGGGCACTAGCATGGGTCCATGGTAATCCCAACAAGCCCCACATGCCTCCAAGCCACAGTTGATCTTTCTTAATTTTTAATTCTAACTTCCATATCCATCATTTAACATACACTCTGGTTACTTTTTTAATGTGGATCATTGGCCCACACATGCTAAGATGTTAGGTCTTATCTTCTTCACGCAGATATAATAAGCTGCTTGGAGGAAAAGATCATAATGTACAGATTATATGTTGCACCCCCCTTCCCTTGGGCCTCTACATTGCCATACCTTTAGCATTAATTTAGAAATATTTCTGCTTTTATTTTATTTTTTTTATCTTACGTGTATGAGTGTATTGCCTGCCTGTGTGTAAATGCACCTGTGTCATGCTATGCCCATGGAGGTCAGAAAAGGGTGTCAGATCCCTTGGAACTGGAGATATGGATGGTTGTTAGCCACCATGTGGGTGCTGGGAACAGAACCTGGATCCTCTGCAAGAGCAGTCAGTGCTCTTAACTGTTAAGCCACCTCTCCAGCCCCCTTTAGCACTAATTTACAAATATTTTTAACTGTATCTAATATGAGTTATTTATTGGGGCACACAGAGGAAGAATAATTGAATTAAAAAAAAAAGATGCAGACCTGAGTCTAGTGGTGTTTACTACTCAAAATGTGGTCCATGAACCAGTAACATCAATGGCAGCTATGAACCAGTTAAATCTCAGCTGGCATCCCAGGCTAAAGGAATCAGATTCTATATTTTAATAGACTCCCCAGATTACTGATGTCTATATATATTTGAATTTGAAAAGAAAAATTATTCTATAACTATGTTACCAAAGAAGCTACTTGGAAGAGGGGAAGAGAACACATGACTTTAAGAGTATGTGCACATGCTGAGGCCCAACTTGACTCCTGCTCTGACCCATGGCCCACATCCTTGAGAGATGTGACAACATCAGGTCAGAAAGCAATTCCAGCTTTTGATAAGTCCTGTCAAGAACTGCTATTAAATTTAATTATAGGAAGAGTTTTACATGGGGCTTGTGAAATGACTCAACAGGTAAAGGTGCTTGCTGCCCAACAATACAAGCCTGATAACTTGAGTTCAGTCTTCAGAACCCATGTAAGGGTGGAAGGAGAAAACCCACTCCACACAGTTGTCACCTGATCTACACACACCAACACTAACAACAATAAATAAAAGAAAAAAAAAAGCCTTTTACAGGTATTTTCTTATTTGTTTTACTTGTGTAAATATTCTGACCTCCTGATGATTCTATTAATTCTCTTCATATCTACCCAGTCCTAAGATACAGTTCTGTATCTCATTCATTCTCTCAGAGTGCAGTGTCTAAAATACATTTTTTGGACTAATTGAAAGCCAAATCCAAAAATGCAAATGCAACTCCAATCCAAAAGAGAAAAGGCCTGTGATGAAGGGAGCTGTTCTAACAGCACTATTGTGGAAATGATCAGGAAATGATCAGCAAAAGCTCCCAAAAGGAATGGCTAGATGCACAGGAAGGGTTACTATATACTGGAAGATATCCGGCATGGGCCTGTGCTCCTGAGGCAGAATCTTTCCTTAGCTGGGAATATGTTCAATGTTTAGATACTCCTCTGTTTTCCCTAAGTGTATCTAGTATCAACATCTCAAGATATTACAGTGCATCTTTTATTGTTTGTTTGTGTGTGTGTGTGTGTGTGTGTGTGTGTGTGTGCGTGCACGTGAAAGCCAGAAGAGAATGTTCAGTGTCTCCTCCATCATTCTCCACTTGATTTTTTGAGATAGGTTCTCTCATTCAAATCGAAGCTCATCCATTTAGCTAGGCTGCCTAGCTAATGAGCTCAGGGGTCTGTCCGTCTCCATCTCCCCAGTGCTGGGATTACAGAGGATATTGCCACAGCCACTGGCTATGACATGGGTGTGGGGGGATCTGAACTCGGGTTCTCATACTTGCACAGCAAACATTTGACCCACCAAGCCAGAAGAAGACCCAGCCCTTGTCTTTCAGTATTTTTTTTAACAGTTTTATTGCTATATAATTTACAGGCCATGTTCACATTTAGGGAAGAGATTTCTACTGTATCCTCCCACTTTCAAGCAACACTTCATTAAAACTCACACAAGAATAGAATATAGTCATTTCTTAAATATCCAGGAATACAGGACATGTTAGTACTTTCTGATTAACATATTCTAAAATCTTAATTTTTCAGTGAAAAATATATCTTGATAAAACTCTATTAAAATTCAAACTGTGAAAGTAATAACTTATAATGCAGTATTTCAAAGATGGCTTTTGAATACACCATGTCAGGCCTTTGCAATGTACTTCCTTATAGAAACTGTATTAGAAGGTGAACTTCATTTATTGCATGCATACTGGAAATCACAAATTCCTACAAACTATTGTCCCCCAGGTTTTCCTGGCCCATGTTTCAACCAGATGTCATGTTCTATAAGGGCTGCTAGTATCTACCAGGATCTGTTATTTTTTCATTTCTGGGATACTGTGAATACTGAGGCAGGTTTTTCCTTTAAAATGTAAAAGGAAGAAAGAAGGGAGGGATGTAGGGAGGGAGGAAGAAAAAAAAAAAAAGAACTTACATGCTCTCACAGAATCTAGTCAGGGTGCTGGGTTTCTCCTGGTTACGTCTTTGTCGAAACCAGCGCTGAATGCTCCGAACATCCCAGTCCAGTTGCTTGGAGAGCCCTTCCAACCTCTTCTCATCAGGATGCTATGAAACAAAGTACCAGGAAAACCATTTTCACCCATTTTTATTTACACTATAAACACATCTTCTCTTACACATGGTCGAATTTCCCCCTCTACTTTCTCCGACTGAAAGTTCAATGTTTGCAACTGAGGACCCAGTCTTTCCATTAGTGGCAAGAACATAAATATATCGACATCACTCATTATGAAACAAGATGGAAAAATACAAACCTTGCTCTAATGCTTACACTTCTTTATCAGCTAACACTTCCTACGACGCAACCAGCAACCAAGATGGGATGGAACAGCCAATTGGCTGAGTTAACTCCATCAGGCTCAGGGGAAGGAGAATTTGCAGAAGCATAACTCAAATATTTTACTTTTTAAGGAAAAATGTATTTATGTATCCAGATAATATAGAATAGACAAAAGTATGGGACAATTCCAAAATGCATCACTTAAGATACCAATCCTAATATCAAACAGGTTTTCTCTCTCCTTCCTCCCCTACTCTTAATCATCCCCCTCCTGACTGAATCCCACATCTAGTCTTACTATTTATTATTTGAAGGAGCTAGCCTGATGAAAAGGACAGGCTGACCTGAGGCAACAGGTATAGATTCAGTTCCTCAATCCACTGGCCCCTCTGACCTCAGTCTCTTTATAGAAACAAGGGTTGTTTATCAACTCACATGGAACGATGGCAAGAACTGTGAAAATGTGTGCTAAACTGGGTACATGTTAGCTTTCTTTGCTTGATCCCCTTTCTTCAACATGCCTCCTGCTCACAATCATGAAAGGTAGGGAAACCTATCCTGTTCAGTAGGTTTGTTGTAACAAATCTGATCAAATGAGATTTATTCATTCATTTATTCTGTTTGCTTTAGAACTGATGATCAGAGGAAATAACCACAATGGGGCAGGGGACAAGCTCACCAGGCTTCAAGCTACAAGAACAGAATGTACATATGACACCTTCCTAAGAGCATCTCAGCAACTCAAAGAGTCTGTGTGCCCCCATAATTCATATGCTGAAATTCTAATCCCCAATGTAATGGTATGAAGAGGTGAGGCCTTTGGGAAGGAACGAGGTCACTAGGGTGGAGTTCTCTCAGTGAGATTTGTACCATAACATAAGAAGATATACTGAAGAGCTTGCTGCTTCCTCCTCTTACTCCTCCCCTACTTTTTCCCTCCCTCCCTTCACTTCTCTCTCAAACACCAAGAAATGGAAAATATGTGCACCTCAGATTTCCAGCCTTTAGAACTGTGAGAAGCAAATGCTTGTTGCTTAAGTCCCTGGTCTATGGTATTCTGTGATGACAGTCTTAACTAACTAAGACAGACAGACACACAGAAACCATAGCAAATGGCATTCAGGTACAAAATGTTTTGATCGTGTGCCTATATGTGATACTTGGCAGCTTTCAACTGGGCATGTGCCCAAATTCTTTGTAGCAGTAATGATACCATCTATGCTCTCCTCTTCTTTGATGTCTTTTTTTCCTACATGTATGTGGAGAGAGAGAGAGAGAGAGAGAGAGAGAGAGAGACTGCCACATGTGTTCAGCTGCCAGAAGAGAGTATTGAATCCCCTAAAACTGGAGTTAATGGAGGTTATAAACCACCCAATGTGGGCGCTGGGAACTAAACTCAGGTCCTCTGCAAGATTAACAAGTACTGTTAATCACTGAGCCACCTCTCCAGCATACTACCTTTTTTTTTTTTCTTTTCTTTTCTTTTTTTTTTTTTGAGATAGGGTCTATCTGTAGTCCCAGCTGGCCTAGAACTCACTATGCAGACCAGGCTGGTCCTGTTCTCACAGAGATCTGCTTGCCTCTGCCTCCCCAGTGCTGGCATTAAAGGTATGCACCACCAGCCCCTTTTTCTTAACTGAAAAAATGAGAGGGAGGAAACAAGTCACTGCCTATAATATATTGATTATATCACTTTCATAGAGAATTTTTTTTAAATACTATTTTGACAATTTTATACACACATATATGATGAATATGACTATACCCTCCCATTACCCTCCATTATCTCCCTTCCTTTCCCTTGGAACACTTGTTCTTCCCAGCTAGCCCCCCAGTGGCTACATTGAAGAAAATGATATCCTTTCCAGCAGCAATCATAAACAGTCAGTAGCCCCTCAGGAAGGGATAGGACCTTGTGGACACAGGAAATGCATTTTTTTTCTTTGTTTGTTTTGAGACAGGGTCTCCCTGTAAGCCCAGGTGACCTAGAACTCACTATGTAGCCCAGGCTGGCCTTGAACACACAGAGATTCACCTGCCTCTGCCTCCCAGTGCTAGGATTAAAGGTGTGCACCAACCACCACACCTGGCAAGGAAATGCATTTTTATTTCATTTTTTTCTAAGTAGTGGAAAAAACAATCCCATGATTCACAAATTAAAACTGTCCAAGTTTCACCTTGCAACTTTGTTCCTTTTATCTCAGCCTCTCTTCTCAAGGAAAACATACAGTTACTAAATCCATTTCTTGCCAGGTAACTTTGCATAAACAAAACTGAACATGCATTCTTCTATCCCCACCCAATCATATACATGACTATAAACTGTGAACTTCGCTCTGGACTTTGGGTTTTCCCTTTACAATGTGTCTTGGAATACTTCCATATCAGTATACAAAAAAAAAAAAAAAAAAAAAAACCAAAACCAAAACCAAACAAAAAACCCCAAAACTACCCTCTTTCTTCTGTCAAACTGTGAACTGTAGGGAAACTCCAACTTACTAACCCATTCTGCTATTAATGAAATTTTGGTACTGTCCAGACTTCTAACAATTCTGCAATAAATAAGCTTGACTTGAGTCACGCTATACATGTTAATCTGCAGGATAAATTCTTGGGAGTAAAAACTGTAGAGCAAACAGGTCTTCCTTTTGTACTTTATTTTGATACTGAAAATTTATTGATTTACATTCTCAAAAGAAAGCCATTGTTTCCCAGAGCCTCCTCAGTAGGCTATGACATTAGACTTTTCATTGTTCTCAGTCTGATATATAAAAAGCAGTATCTTGTATTGCTTTGATATTCACTTTTATGAGAGAATTTTCTTTTTCACGTGCTTTAAAATCACCTGTATTTTTCTTTTTTTGTGAAGAGAATGCTCGTGTCTATTGCTTCTTTTTTCTTGACTTGTTGGTAATTTATAGGCTCTCTTCCTCTATTAGAGTGAGTAATCACTTGTCTCTATTGTAAGCTACATATTCTTTACCAGTATATCATCTGTGTTTTAAAATTGGCTTATAGAGGGTTTTTTGCTTGTTTATTATATGTAGGTATTTCCTAAAAATGTACTTTTGTTTAGCAATATTTTCTGTAATTATGATTTAGAATCATAATTTTAAAATACCCTTTGTACTCAAAATGTTAAAAAAAAACTTTCTAGGTTTTTTTCTAACACATGTAGGGTTTTGATAGATTCAAATCTTTAGTGCATTTTGCATATGTACTGGCATTCAGTGTGAAGTATGACTAACTTTCTAAATCCCTACCCAGTATCCTAACACTCATCTTTCCCCAATGGAAAAAAAAAATCACACTGTTCTTCTAGTGGCCTATTATTCATGTCTCAGTAAAATGCAGTAAGTTTTCCTCAGAGATCTTTGGTTTTCTACATAAAAAGAGAACTAAGTTGTCTGACCAGGGCAGTTACTAATCTGAATTCATAGCAATGTGATAGCATGCACAAGACCTACCCAAGTTCAAATTAGACAAATTTTCAGCACAAGGGGGTAGGTGAGTAAGAAACCCCAATCCTAGCTTAAGCAGCTGCTGGGAGAGGGAGAGTCTGTTTTCTTTAAAGGTGTGATGCTGAGTCCAGAGGATGGACCCATATTAAAGGGCATTTGGGAAAGCAAATAATTATTTTTTTTAAGACCTATAGAGTCTTGAAAAATGACACCAGAGGACATGACATGGAGTAAGGTATAGTGAAGGGGGTGCACGTATGGGAGGGGATCTGAATATGATTCAAGTTCAGTCTATGACATTCTCAAAAATTCAATAAAATATTTTAACTAGGTTGTCTGTACTAAAAATTCAAAAAAGGCCAAATAAGCAAACATTTTTGCCTTTGTAATATGATCACGCAAGTCTCTTATATTAATGTAAGATGAATTAACATCTTCACTCGACTTGTCTACTGAGTCCTTCAAGCGTATTTAAATCTTCCTTGCATACTTCTTACACAAGGCTGTCATGTTTGGTTTTTGCAATGTTATTCTCTTTGGTTTTTATTAAAATAAGATGCTTTATTATAGACTTTTAACTACTTAGTGTTTACATATATGTATATGAAAGCCATTGATTTCTGGTAAGTAATTTTCCATGACAAAATTTCTGTGATAGTCTTTCACTTAATTGTCTTAATTTTTCAGGTACACCATAATATAATAGTATGTTACCAGAATATAAGGTCCATAAACAAAGAAAATCTTTATATATTTTTGTACCAGTACAAAGATTATAAAAGACTCTGTAAATGCTTTTGGAATAAATGAATGAATAAATATTTAAGTAGAAACAGTTTTGCCTCTTCCTTTCAAATTTTTATGACTCCCCCCCCTTATCTGCTTTCTAGCTGAGTCCCATGGTGAGCAACTTATAAATTTACCATTACTTCCTCTCCCTCCCTCTGCTCCTCCACCACCCAATACTTGTCAACAATGATATCTCTCCTAGAGTTTGCTCTTGTGCTAATAAATACACTTCTACTTCTCTTCAATTTGCTGCCATTAGCTGATAAGCTGCCTCCCACCTATTAGGGATTATGCAATCACTAAACTTTACTTCCTACTTTCCCTCAATTCAAGTTAGTTGTACAATTTTATATCTAAGAACATATAATGCCAATATTTTATTCTGTCATCAGTCCTCATATTTCTTCCTCTTTTAGCTTTACAGTTCAAATATATTCAAAATTCACAAACCTTCACAGTAACTTTTTGGTTAGCTAAAATTAATGACTTAATAATCGTCTTAAGAAAGAAGAAAATGGTGGAGAAGAAATTATAGATAATCTGCCTACAATTTCTTATAGGTTTATTTTAGTATTTATTCGTGTGTGTGTGTGTGTGTGCATGCACATGGAGAGTCCAAATGATATCAGACCCCCTAGCACTGGAGTTAAAAGTGGTTATGAACAGCCTAATGGTGTGCTGGGAAGTCAAAACCAGTTCTCTGGAAGCACTCTTAACCACTGACCCATCTCTCCATTCCCTCTGGTTACAATTAACTAGAGAGAGGAAGATATCACAGCTGTTACTCCCTCCTCCATCTGCAAGTGATCTTGGGAGTTGTTAGAGTGCATAGGAAGTAAAAAGATAGTAGCATTAAAAATGTAGGAAACAGCATACCTTAAAATGAAATGGAGATCTTCTTTAAAGGG